ATGCAATAAATTGACTAACCAATAATGCAATATAAGCATTTTATGAAAGTGCAAGTGAAGAAAAGCTGTGACATTCAATAGGAATTACTTTTGTTACCAGCAAGGGAACCTGGCCCTTGTCATGGCTGGGGCCAGCCAGTAGTGTGTGTGTTCTTGACTTCATGCAGGAAAAATTTCGTAACATGAGTCAAGGTAACTATGAGGGAATGTTATTAAAGATGGGGACAGTAAAACAAGAAAGGGCTTAGCAACAGGAGAGCCTAGGCTAAGCCACTCTAGTTCTCTGGGAAGTCAGAGAAAAGTGGGCCTTGGAATCAGGTTCAGGGTTTAGCCTGGGACAAGGGGCCACTGCCCATAGCTCCCGATTGCAAGCTTTATCGAGTCCTTAGGGTTTAGGAGACACATTCCTGTGGGGGAAGAAGAGAAAAGGAATGGCAATGGCTGCTCCCCAGAGGGAGTGCACAAGCTGGGTCCTTTGTCCCGAGGGTTTATCTCTTTCTCACAGGCAGGAATCTTAGGGGAAGTCTCGGGAGGGTTTCAGCAGAATATTAATTCGTTTTCTAGGTGTGCTTCTCCACCGATTGGTCAGTTTCAGGGCAGGGGGTCCTCAATCATCGCAGTTGGTACTGGTATCACCCACCTGGTTCTGCCGCTTTCCTGGGTCCGGAGCTGAAATGCAACTGAGGCCTAGATGTTATCTCTAGAGAGGTGACTTTCTGTATCTGTTGTGAATTGCTCTGTCAGTTTGTTTCGCTATCTTGTCTCAGTTTCCCTGTTCTACTTGTCCTGGTTTACTGACCAGTCTCACGTTGATTAATAATACCATGTCCAGTTTAAATTCAGTGATTTGAGTTTACCAAAAGTAAAAGAAATAGCAATGGCAATGATGATTATTTCTCATTCCTTTGTGCAGTATTTCACACTTGTGTTTTGTTCTATTCTCTCTTTTATCATAGTTATAAGTATATGGATAGATAGAGATATTTTATTTTGTACTGCCAAAGTAACCAGTCTACTTAACCTTTTTCTAGTAGTTTTATGTTTTACCTAACAGACTTGCACTACTTATTTTTTAAATTAAAGTATACTTGGTATACAATATTTTAGTTTCAGGTGTATAACATAGTGATTCGACATTTATATCTTAAGATGTGCTCACCACACTAAGTCTAGTAATCATCTGTCTAGTAACCAACTGTGTAAAGTTATCACACTATTATTATTATTGACTAGATTCCCCTTCACTTTTTCACCCATCCCTTATTCCCTCTGGTAAGCACCTTGTCTTTCTCTGTCTGACTTATTTCTGAAAGATTAGAAATAAATATTTGAAATACCAACCTAGATATTTGTGAGGTCACGTAAGAGTGGTCCAAAGAGGATCTTAGCAGTTCCCTTTCAATATCCTTCTAACAGCTAACCATTGGAATTTTCCTGAATCACTAAAAATAATACTAAAATAATTTGGAGTGCAATGACTGACTAGGATAATCCTCCCGAGGATGTCACAACTAAGTGTCTTTCCCACACTTTGGAGTGGAAATGGTAGAGCATAACAATCAAAATGACTTTACCCAGTTGTTGCTTAACCTACTTTAACCCAGATTTACAAGTTTCCAAAGTGAACTTGGTTGGAAGTGTTTGTTTCTGTATGACAGGTTAGACTCTTTAAATACAACTTCCTAGCCCTAGCTGGTTTGGATCAGTGAATAGAAGGTTGGCCTGTGGACTGAAGGGTCCGGGTTTGATTCCAGTCAAGTTCACATGCCTGGGTTGCAGGCTTGATTCCCAGTAGGGGGCGTGCAAGAGGCAGCAGATGAATGATTCTCATCATTGATGTTTCTACCTCTCCCCCTCCCTTCCACTCTGAGATCAATAAAAAAAAAATTTTTAAATAAAGGAATAAAAAGAAATAAATACAACTTCCTAGACTCATCTGGAGAGATATATACAAATTAGTTTGTAGTAAAGAGATTATTGAGTCTTTTTAACATTGTAGATAAATTAATCTCATTGATATTTTAATTTTTTGAAAAAGAACATAGAATTATATAAATATCTTTGTATGAAATTGGCATTCCAATTCGTTAAAGTTGTTTGATCAGAAGTTTCCGTCTGATGTTTAGCCAGGCATTATTGACAAAAAAAGATGGGATCCTGTGTCAGGGTTTGCATGTACAGTTGTGCGGGTTATACACTGCACAGCACAGGGTTGGGGCATTTGTACATGGGTCAGCTTGTATATTAGGACAGTTTCTGGCAGGTGGCAGTAAAGTATCTTGAGGAAGGAGCACTTATTTCTATTTTTACAAAGGCTGTGTAAGGGCTTGCAGTGGTACCGTGGCCTATGTGTCAGACTCTATTTAGAAATGAATATTTGTTGAAGTACGGTAATCAAGAAGAGCATGTCCAGCTTAGCTATCATGGTTCAATGGTTAAGCATCGACATATGAACCAGAACGTCATGGTTCGATTCCCGGTCAAGGCTTGATCCCCAGTGTGGTAATTGCAGGAGGCAGCCGATCGATGATTCTCTCTCATCATTGCTGTTTCTATCTCTCCCTCTCCCTTCCTCCCTGAAATCAATAAAAAAATATATTTTTAAAAAAGAGCATGTATAGCAATGCTATCTCGTATGAGATTATATCATAATTTAGCATTTGCTTTTTGGCAACCTCAATAATATAGTACAGAGTCCACAGCCAAAAAAAAAAAAAAAAAAAAAAAAGGTAACAGTGGGCCAGTGAAGTGAAATAAATTATACAAAGTTTATGAACTTTATATTTTATATATAGAAAAGCCTATTTCACTTTATATATCCATCTCTGGCCCAATATCTGTTTTCCAGTCCAATAATTAAAAAAAAAACAAGTAGAAAGGTGAGAAGCTGTATAGTTAAGTAGCTCACAGAAGCAGTAAGGTGGCCAGTGGTGGAGATGGAAAAACTTAAATTTAGAAAAAATAGACACAGGATCCCAAACAAACTAAAAAACTAGTGTGGATTGGTATCAAGCTAGTAAATGAAGAGGCAACCCTAGCTTGGAAACATGAGGAGAGTACTGTTTTGCCACAAAATGCAGTCAGTGGTAGTCACAGTAATGACCTGGAGTTTATCAGAAAACGTTAAATAGAATATACCATACCCTCTTTAATGCAAGAGTTTTGTAATATACTTTAGAAAGCTTTATTTAAAATCTAGAGGCCCGGTGCATGCTGGGGTCCCGCGGCGTGGCCTGCGGGGATCGGGCCAAAACCGGCAGTCCAACGCCGCCTGCTGCTCCTGCCTACCACTCCTGCTCATCCCAGCCCCACTGCGCCTGCCACCACGGCCACTTGGTAGGCTCACTGCTGCTCCACTGAAGTCCCCAAGCACCTGTCCTAGGGTGATACCGGCGCGCCCATGACCTAGAAGTGGCCACAGGCTCACTCCCAGTTAGTCCCAATGCCGGTCCCGATCCAGTCTGGTCCAGATGGGGGAGGAGCGCACGAAGGGAGTGTCTGCAGAAGAGGCTAACGCTGCGGTAGCTGCGCTCACTAGCTGTGAGCCCTGTGTCTGGTCCCCATTGGTCAGCTGAGCAGCACTCCTGCTGTGGGAGTGCACTGACAACCAGGGGTTAGCTCCTGCATTGAGCATCTGCCCCCTGGTGGTCAGTGCACATCATAGCAACCGGTTGAATGGTCAAACGGTCAAATGATTGCTTAGGCTTATCTATAATAATAAAAGCGTAATATGCTAATTAGACCGGACAGCCAAATGACCTTCCAGATGAAGCCGTGGTGGCGGGGCCGAGGCAGAGGAGGTTAGGGGCAATCAGGCAGGCAGGTGAGTAGTTAGGGGCCATCAGGCAGGCAGGCAGAGTGTTAAGGGGCAATCAGGCAGGCAGGCAGGTGAGCGGTTAGGAGCTAGTGGTCCCGGATTGCGAGAGGGATGTTAAACTGGCAGTTGGACATCCCCCGAGGGGTCCCAGATTGCAAGAGGGTGTAGGCTGGGCTGAGAGAACTCCTCCATGCACAAATTTTGTGCACCGGGCCTCTAGTATAGACAGTCCTCGGGTTATGTCGGACTCGACTTACGTCGTTTCGTGGTTACGTCGCCATCTCCCATTTATATAAAAAAAAAGTTCCATCATTTCGACGTATGTACATATGTGCTTTATGTTTTTTATTATTTATTTACCGCAAGTAAAGGTCAGGAATTGTTATTTTTCTTTTAAATTTTTTTTACTGTTTCACTTCATTACTGCTGTGTATGTGATGTGCTCCATGTGAGTGATGTAGGTGCTTATGGAGGTGGGTTCTGACTTACGGTGAAAATCGCATTATGTTGTGCCTTAGGAACGGATCTCTGACGTAACCTGAGGACCTACTGTATATATAGATTTATCTTTATGGTTGAAAGTATTGTTGAAAGCATTTCCCTATGGAACCCCTCCACCCTGCACATGACACCCCGCTCCTTACCAAACTATTATCTGTGTCTGGGGGTTATGCATACATGTATATAAGTTTTTTGTTTAATATCTCCCCACCCACCTGCCCACCCACCCCCAAATTTCACCAAATGTTAGTACTTAAAGAGAAGGTTTACTAAATAAAATGTGCTGCTTAGTTCTCTTTGTTAAACCTACCAAGTTCACGTAAGTTGACCTCTTTTTCTTATGATGCCAGGTAAATGAGGTTTCTCTAGTTCGATCACACATAGGAGTTGTTTCTAAAAAGAGTATTTGGGACAAGGAAACATAAAAATGTTTGCTACAAATTTTCTATTTGTAGTTTCTCACATATAGTAAAGACTATATGTTTGGACTATATACCACATATAATATTTACTACAGATTTTTCATTTGTGATATATAATACATAGTAAACACTATGCTTTTACAAATATTGTTTCTTGCTAAAAAAATTGCTTCTCTGATCCAAAATATGAACAACTGTGAAATTTACCATTGAAAAGTTTTCTTGAGTTCTAAGAATATTTTATATTTGTTTAATTATAGGTTGAAGACTTTAAGTGACAAGTCAAGAGAAGCTAAAGTAAAAAGCAAACCAAGGTAAGCTTGTGCTAAGATTTGACTTACTGTAACCTAAATTTCATCCAACTTTTGGTTATAGTCACAATGGTATAATTACTATAATGGGTTTTATATCTATTAAGTGCATCTGACTACAAAACAACTTATTGATTCTTTTTAAATTTTGTAACACTGGAAAATTTTTTGATAAAATTGTAAAATGACTGAAAAACTGGTTAAGTGTAATTGTTTTATTCTGACAATCAATGGCTATTTTTTATTAATCATTTTATTTGCATACTAAGAGCAAATTAAAAGTCCTGCATTATTAAGAAGCAAATTAATAATGGAACAGTAACTGGCAAGCAAGCATCTTTAGCTCTGTTAACACTGGTGTCACTTTTTAATAAAGTAAAGCACATGGCCAAATGTCACTTCCAACCTAGACATGATGAGCTTTAAAAAAATTCTTATTTTGCACTACATTAAAGTGTTTATTATTATGTGTTGAAACTAATTTACTAGTATAGGGCCAAGTGATTGTTGATAGTATATAACAGTGTATTAACTTTGAAATAAAGCAATATATTTCTCTAAAAGTTTAGGTAAGTTGTCATTAGTGATTTTAAAATATTTCATGTTACAATTGACAATGTCAAAATTCTTATATGTAACTTTTTTTTTTAATTGGCCTAAATCAGAAACAGTTTTAATAAAGTAAGTGTTTCTTTTGGCAGGACTGTTTCATATTTGCCAAAGTACTCTGCTGGATTGGAATTACTTAGCAGGTAAGTGTTTTCATTTAAATAAGAAGATTGTACTTCTGACTATTTTATTGTCTAAAATCCTATCTAATAATAGAGACAGAAAAAAACATGTGGTTGCCGAGGTTTAGTGGAGAGAGGGGAATGAAATGACTGCAAATGTGTACATTTTCTGGGGGGATGAAAATTTTCTGGAATTAGATAGTGGTGATAGTTGCCCAACTTTGTGAATATACTAAAAACTACTGAATCATACACTTTAAGAGGGTGAATTATTTCAATAAAACTGTTAAATATGGTTTTTATATGTTGTATGTTGTTATATGTAGTTCTGTAGTTAAAAATGTGTCATCTGACAGATACGTGGTTAAGTTGTGTGCAGTAGAAAGTATGATTTCTCCTTTCCTTATCTGCATTTATTTATTTTATATATATATATATATATATATATATATATTATTGTTTAAAGTATTACATATGTCTCCTTTTTCCCCAATTGACCCCCCTTACTTCCGCCCCCCCAGGACAAGCACCCAGCGCCCCAGTGTCCCTGTCCATTGGTTATGCTAATATACATGCATACAAGGCCTTTGGTTGATCTCTTACCCCCTCCATCCCCTGCCTTCTCTCTGAGGTGAACAGTCAGTTCAGTGGTTCTTTGTCACTGGATCTATTTTTGTTCATCAGTTTATGTTGTTCATTATATAACACAAATGAGTGAGATCCTGTGATATTTATCTTTCTCCGACTGGCTTATTTCGCTTAGTATAATGCTTTCCAGGTCCATTCATGCTGTTGCAAATGGTAAAAGTTCCTTCTTTTTTACAGCAGCATAGTATTCCATTGTGTAGATGTACTACAGTTTTTTAATCCACTCATCTGCTGGTGGGCACTTAGGCTGTTTCCAAATCTTAGCTATTATAAATTGTGCTGCTATGAACATAGGGGTGCATATGTCCTTTCTGACTGGTTTTTCTGATTTCTTGGGATATATTCCCAGAAGTGGGATTACTGGATCGAATGGGAGTTCCATTTTTAATTTTTTGAGGAAACTCCATACTGTTTTCCACAGTGGCTGCACCAGTCTGCATTCCCACTAGTAGTGCAGGAGGATTCCTTTTTCTCCACGTCCTCTCCAGCACTTGTCATTTGTTGATTTGTTGATGATAGCCATTCTGACAAGTGTGAGATGGTACCTCATTGTCGTTTTGATTTGCATCTCTTGGATGATTAGTGACTTTGAGCATGTTTTCATATATCTCTTGGCCTTCTGTATGTCCTCTTTCGAAAAGTGTCTATTTAGGTCCTTTGCCCATTTTTTTTTATTGGATTGTTTATCTTCTTTTTGTTAAGTTGTATGAGTTCCCTGTAATTTTGGAGATTAAACCCTTATCTGAGATAGCATTGGCAAATATGTTCTCCCATGCAGTGGGCTTTCTTATTGTTTTGTTGATGGTTTCGTTTGCTGTGCAGAAGCTTTTTATTTTGATGTAGTCCCATTTGTTTATTTTCTCCTTAGTTTCCATTGCCCTAGGACCTGTATCTGTAAAGATATTGCTACAACATATGCCTGATATTTTGCTGCCTATCGAGTCTTCTAAGATTTTTATGGTTTCCCGTCTTACATTTAAGTCCTTTAACCATTTTGAGTTTGTTTTTGTGTATGGTGTAAGTTGGTGATCTAGTTTCATTTTTTTGCATGTATCTGACCAATTTTCCCAGCACCATTTATTGAAGAGACTGTCTGGACTCCATTGTATGTTCTTGCCTCCTTTGTCAAATATTAATTGAGCAAAATGGCTTGGGTCAATTTTTGGGTTCTCTGTTCTGTTCCATTGGTCTATATGTCTGTTCTTGTGCCAGTACCAGGCAGTTTTGAGAACCATGTCTTTGTAATATAGCTTGATATCTGGTATTGTGATCCCTCCAACTTTCTTCTTCTTTCTCAGGATTGCTGTAGTTATTCAAGGTCTTTTTTTATTCCAGATGAATTTTTGGAGAGTTTGTTCTAGGTCTGTGAAATATGCCGTTGGTATTTTAATGGGGATTGAATTGAATTTATAAATTGCTTTGGATAGTATGGACATTTTAATGATTCTACCAGTCCATGAACATGGTATGTTCTTCCATTTGCTTATGTCTTCCTCTATCTTTTTTTTTTTTTTCAATGTCCTGTAGTTTTCTGAGTACAGGTCTTTTACCTCCTTAGTTAAGTTATTTCCTAGATATCTTATTTTTTTTGCTACAATGGTAAATGAGATTGTTTTTCAGTTTCTCTTTCTGTGAGTTCATTATTGGTGTATAATTCTTACCTGCATTTATAATGACACAGTCATCTACACCTACATTTTGCTTTATCTTTTTTCATTTGTTTGTTTATTTGTTAATCCTCACTCGAGGATATTTTTCCATTGATTTTCAGGGAGAAAGGGACAGAGAGGGAAAGAAAGAGAGAAACATCAATGTGAGAGAAACACATCGATTGGTTGTCTCCTGCATGGCCCCAACTGACCAGGGCCTGGGCCAGGGAGGAGCCTACAGCCAAGGTACCTGCCCTTGACAGGAATCAAACCTGGGACCTTTTGGTCCACAGGCTGATCTCTATCCATTGAGCAAAACTGGCTAGCACTCTTTTCTCATTTTTACTGGGTTTCTTTTTATGGTTGCTAAATCTAGAGATTTTCCTTTTCTTCTCTGAAATGAAAGTGCTCAATTTGATATTAATTTCCTGCTTGGTTTTGTTGAGTGAAGAACATATGTGAACCTGAAAGAAGGTATAGTAAAATCTAGTCAGAGGTATACTGTTTACTATTTACATTTTATCTTTATTTTTTAAATTTAATGATTTAGTTGAAAGAACTTTATTGAAATATTTATTTTGGAGGTTTAGACTTTTGTGTGTGGTAGTTTTTTTTAGGGTGGAGTACATTTTCGGACTTAATTGAAAAATTTACAATCATAGGAAGATGTCTATAATGTGTCATTCATTGCACTGAAAGTCTTTTCTTTTTAGAACTAATACTTAAGTAGAGGAAAAGCCCTTTTTAAATAGTAGATCCTATGTAATAATAGACAAACATGGTAATTAACCATACCTCCGCTATGCTTCCCAATGGCTAATCAGCAGGATATGCAAATTAACTGCCAACAAAGATGGCGGCCGGCAGCCACGCAGCTGAAGCGAACATGAGGCTTGCATGCTCCAGTGATGGAGGAAGCCAAGGTTCCCTGCCTGCCTCGCCCTGCTCTAAGCTACACTCTAAGCAACAAAGTTGCAATTATAGAAGCTAAACAAGCTCCAGATACCTGCTTTCAGCCAGCTTCGGCCTCAGAGCTTAGAGCAGCAGTGATGGCAACAATGTTTCAATTATAGAAGCTAAACAAACCCAGATACCTGCTTTCAGCCAGCTGCAGCCTCAGAGCTGGAGCTGGGCCTCAGAGCTGGAGCCGGCTCGCAGCTCCAGTGACAGCTATAGAAGGTAAATAAATCCCGGAATTAAAAAGAAAAACAAAAAAAAAAAAAAAACAGAAAAAAAGGAGAGGCTGGGAGCTTCAGTTGCCCGCCAGCCTGAAAACAGCCCTCAGCCCCTCACCCAGACTGGCCAGGCACCCCAGTGGGGACCCCCACCCTGAAGGGGGTGTGACCAGCTGCAAACACCCATCAGCCCGTCATCCAGGCTGGCCAGGCACCCAAGCGGGACTCCCACCCTGATCTGGGACACCATTCAGGGCAAACGAGCTGGCCCCCACCTGTGCACCAGGCCTCTATCCTATATAGTAAAAGGGTAATATGCAAACTGACCCTAACAGCAGAACGACTGGGAATGACTGGTCACTATGACACACACTGACCACCAGGGGGAAGATGCTCAATGCAGGAGCTGCCCTCTGGTGGTCAGTGAGCTCCCACATGGAGGAGCTCTGCTCAGCCACAAGCCAGGCTGACGGCTGCCAGTACAGCAGTGGTGGTGGGAGCCTCTCCTGCCTCCTCAGCAGCGCTAAGGATGTCTGACTGCAGCTTAGGTCTGCTCCCCGCTGGCAAGTGGACATCCCCCGAGGGCTGCTGGGCTGCCAGAGGGATGTCTGATTGCCATCCTGGCCCAATCCCCTGGGGAGCAGGCCTAAGCCAGCAAGTGGTCACCCCTGAGGGGTCCCAGACTGCGAAAGGGCACAGGCCAGGCTGAGGGAACCCCTACCCCCGAGTGCACAAATTTTTGTGCACCAGGCCTCTAGTATCTAAATAATAGTTTTTAAATTTTTAAAAATGTGATAAAATACATATAAAATAAAATTTATCTTAACCATTTTTAAAATATATATATTTTTTTATTGATTTCAGAAAGGAAGGGAGAGGGAGAGAGGGATAGAAACATCAGTGGTAAGAGAGAATCATGTATTGGCTGCCTCCTGCATGCCCCCTACTGGGGATCAAGCCTACAACCCAGGCATGTGTCCTGACTGGGAATCAAACCCTGACCTTCTGGTTCATAGGTTGACACTCAACCACTGAGCTACACTATCCAGGCTTAACCATTTTTAAGTGTACAGTTCAGTAGTGTTAAGTACATTCACACTGTTGTGCATCCAATCCCCAAAACTTTTCATCCTCCAAAACTGAAAATCTACCTATTAAACAATAACTCCTCATTGTCTCCTTCCCGTTGCCTCTGATAGTTGTCATTCTACTTTCTATGACTTTGATTAATACTCTAGGTTCCTCATATAAATTAACTTGTACAATATTTGTCTTTTTGTGATTGGCTTATTTCACTTAGCATAATGTTATCAAGATTTGTCCATGTTGTAAGGTTTATGTCAGAATTTTCTTCCTTTTCAAGGCTGAATAATACTTAATTGTAAGTGTATAGTCATGTGCTGCATAACGATGTTTCAGTCAATGACTGACAGCATATATAGTGGTCTCTTAAGATTATGATGGAGTTGAATTTCTTGTAAGAAATGGAAGGATATGTGGTTCGGGAGGAATTTTTTTTTACTTGGACAGGAGCAGTATCTGTGGGGCTTAGCAATAGATTTCCTCTCATTCACAACACCTCGATTTGAATTGCATAGATTATATCCCAGTCAGCCTCTGACCTGTTTCAGCACAGAGGACCCTGTTCCCCCAGTGCTACATATTCAGAGGGTGCTACAGCCCTCCCACTTCTAGTGTGATAGTCTTCAGAGGACATTGTTGTAAATACTTTGTTGAGGACCTAAGATCTTGTACAAGGACCCAGGTCCACAGGAGCTACCTTAACAAGTAGAGGTAGACCTTGTTTTATTGTGCTTCACTTTATTGTATTTCACGAATGTTGCATTTTTTTTGCAAATTGAAGGCAAGGCCCTCCATTGGAGAAAAGATTATAACTGGCTTTATTGCGATGGTCTGAGGTATGCCAATATTGAGTACCACTGCCACTTTAGTGAAGCTTTCTGTGGTAGTTTTCCTGTACTTTGGAACTGTTTTCAGGCTGTAATGCTGTAAAGCAAATATAAGTTTAATTTCTTCTATCAGTTCAATGCCAGAGAGCACTCTTTGTGCCAGATAGGGTCAATGGCAACAAAAACAAATTTCCAAGTTCAAAATATTGAGTCCTTGGTTTTATGCCCTCTCCGTGTTAAACACCCCCTTTTTCTTTTTCTTTTTTTTATGAATACCACATAGTCCCTTAATCTGACCACTGCTCCTACATGCAATAGCCAAAACCACATTGCCGTGATAATCCCCTATGTTCCTTTATCTCTCCATCTTGATTTCTTATTCCTATTGATCTCAGGCCACCTTTCATTCCCTCCTGACAGTCACTATTGTGGTGATCTGTGCTTTAAACCCAGCCAGTTTCCCCTCGATATTTCCAATCAGTCCAGCCTACATCTCTGATCATGGAGCAGCATTGACAGCTTTGATGTTCTATTTCTGACTCTATTAGAAAGAAGCAGGAGGAGGGCTTTTGGGACAATGTTCATTAAGTCTATCTATAGTAATGCACAGCAATGTCCCAGACCTTCACTTTCACTCACTGACTCACCCAGAGCAACTTCCAGTCCTGCAAGCTCCATACATTTTTATTTTTATACCATATTTTTAGTGTACTTTTTCTACATTTAGATCTGTTTAGATACACAAATACCACTGTGTTATGGTTGTCTATAGTATTTAGTACAGTAGCATGCTGTACCAGATTTTGTGTAATGTAGGAGCAATAGGCTATATTACATAGCCTAGGTAAGTAGTGGACTTTAACATCTAGATTTGTGTCAGTGCACTCTATCATGTTTGTACAACAAAATCACCCAACAACGCATTTCTCAGAATATATATCCCCATTGTTAAGTGATTTGTGACCGTACATCATATTTTGCCTTTGCATTCATCCACTAACGAACATTTGGGTTGCTTCCACCTTTTGGCTATTGTTAATAATGCTGCTATGAACATGGGCACACAAATATCTCCGCTAGACCTGCTTTTAGTTTTTGGGGGTACATACTAGAAGTGAAATTTCTGTATCATATGGTAATTCTATTTTTAATTTTGTGAAGAACCATTACACTGTTTAACATAGCAGCTGCACTATTTTACATTCCCATCAACAGTGCATAGAAGTTCCCTTTTCTCTACATCCTCACCAAAACTTATTTTTGGGGAGTTTTTATTTGTTTGTTTGCTTGTTTTGTAGATATTGTAATTAGTGTGAATGGTGAGAGTGGACATCCGAGTCTTGCTCCTGATCTGAGAAGAAAAGCTTTCGACCTTTCACCATTGAATAGGATGTTAGCTATGGGCTTATCTTGTATGGCCATTGTATTGTGATACATTCCTTCTGTACCTAATTTGTTAAGAGTTTTTATTATGAACAGATGTTGAATTTTGTCAAATGTTGTTTTTTGTGTCTGTTGAGATGATAATATGATTTTTCCCCTTTAATTTCATTAATGTGATGTATCACACTGATTATGGATATTGAACCATGCTTGCATCATATATATAAATTCCACTTGATGATGGAGAATGATCCTTTTGATGTGCTGCTGAGTTTGGTTTGCTAAGATTTTATTGAGAATTTTTACATCCATATTCATCAGGGATATTGGCCTATAATTTTCTTTTCTGATAGTGTCCTTTTTTGCCTTTGGTATCAGGGTAATGCTGGCTTTGTAAAATTAGTTTGAGTGTTCCTCCTTTTTGATATTTTTTGGAACAGAGTGAGAAGGACTTATATTAATTCTGTTTTAAATGTTTGGTAAAATTCACCAATGAAGCCATCTGTTCCTGGACTTTTCTTGATTGAGACATTTTGATTACTGATTCAACCTCCTTACTAGTAATTAGTCTGTTCAGCCTTTCTATTTCTTCTTGAATGAGTCTTGATAATTTGTATGGTTCTAAGATTTTTTTCCATTTTTTCTAGGTTGTCCAGTTTGTTGGCATGTAGTTGTTCATACTAGCCTCTTATGATTCTTTGTATTTCTGCGGTGTCAGTTGAAATATCTCCTTTTTCATTTATAATTTTGTTGATTTTAGTCCTCTCTTCTTTTCCTTGGTGAGTCTAGTGAAAGGTGTCAATTTTATCTTTTCAAAGAACCAACTAATAGTTTGGATAATTTTTTCTGTGTTTTTTTTTAATTTCTTTTATTTCTGCTCTGATCTTTATTATTTCCTTCCTTCTATTAGCTTCAGCTCAGTTTGTTCTTTATTTGGGCTCTTTCTTCTCAATGTGGGTGTTTATTGCTATGAATTTCCCTCTTAGAACTGCTTTTGCTGCATATGTTTTGGTATGTTATGTCTCCATTTTTTGTCTTAAGGTAAATTTTTTGTCTTTTAATTTCTTTTTGATGCATCATTGTTCAGGAGGTAGGTTTTTTATTACTGATCCATTCTCCTTACTAATTATGGGTCTGTTCATATTTTCTGTTTCTTTGGGATTCGGTCTTGGTAGGTTTTGCATTTCTAGGAATTCATTTCATCTAGGTCATCTAATTTTTTGACATACAATTATCGATAGTACTCTCTTATCCTTTTTATTTCTATAGAATTGATAATTGTCTCCCTTTTGTTTCTAATTTTATTTGAGTCTTCTATTTAATAAGTCTATCTAAAGGTTTAAATTTGTTCGTCTTTTTGAAGAACCAAATTTTTGTTTCATCGACTTTCTCTCTTATCTTTTAATTAGTTATTTATTTAAATTACTATAAACTCATGGATGTTTGTTTAATTCTTAGAATTAATAACCCAATACTACCATTATGTACTCTGTTGCTCAGATTCTCCCAGATTTGACCATTGGAAGCCCCTTCAAGTTGACTTCTGTATCCTTATGACATATCCCCATTATTTTTTGAGCTTTTCTTTTCAGACACCATAGGATGTTCTAGGCTCATCTTTAAATCGTATTTTTGAATGTTTTAAAACATTAAAATTTTGAATTAATTTTTGCATTTTGAATATTTTTTTTGCTTTTCTTAGGTATGAAGATACATGGGCTGCACTTCACAGAAGAGCCAAGGAATGTGCGAGTGCTGGAGAGGTAAAGAATTATTGGTTATGCCCTGACTGGTTTGCTTCAGTGGATAGAGCGTTGGCCTGTGGACTCAAGGGTCCCAGGTTCGATTCCGGTCAAGGGCATGTACCTTGGTTGCGGGCACATCCCCAGTAGGAGGTGTGCAGGAGGCAGCTGATCGATGTTTCTCTCTCATTGATGTTTCTAACTCTCTATCCCTCTCCCTTCCTTTTTGTAAAAAATCAATAAATATATAGACAAAAAAGAATTATTGGTTAATCTTGTACTTGTGGGATATGCTAGTTTTTAAGAAATTAAATTTATATTAAAATGTTTTTCAGGATATCTGAAATTGAATTTAGCAATTATGAAACTTGATATAAAGCACATTTTCATAATATCTCAGTCAGATAGTTTAATTAGGTTTAGAGAGTTTGACTTTTATTCTCAAGTCACAAGTAAATACTTGTTTCATGGAGGTATTTGAGTCTAATGTCTTTGCATATGTAAATTACAGTGTGTAATTTCTTTTTACCCACTATTTAAGAATTTCTTATTATTTGGACAAAAGCTTAACTTTGCTCAAGCTACCTAAAATCACTAATTTGCTTAGCAAATAAATATAAAATTTCAGGGGTGTCAGCCTTAATTCACTTAGAAGATCAAATTCTCTAGCACTATGCATAGAGTATATAATGAATATATGTGACTTATAATTAAAATTATTTGGTGCATGTACTTAGAGCTTTAGCCAAGATCAAATACTCTGTGCTATTAATGTCAATCAAACTTACTTCTTTCTAAAGACACTTTTGTGATTCTGATGTTAAATTAATTTAGACTGACTTTCTTTACCATTTACCTACATTAGTGAAACTGTAATAGTTATATAGAACAGAATAATACATAGGAAATTTAGTCATTAGTGTTTCTTTGAGAAATTACTGAAAAGTGGGAGGCGGGGGGTGGATTAGGATTTTGGCCATAAGGTAGATTAGGTACTTTGAAAGTCTTCTGGTTATAAAACACTTAAATGCTGGATAGATTAAAAGCATTTTTTAAATGCCTTAAGCTCACAAAAATTAAGGGAGATTCTAACGTGCCAAAAAAAAAAATGAAAAAGGAAATAAAATCAAAGTGGCTAAAAACAAAACCAAACCATGGAAGCTGTGGTCAAATACTAAAACAAAAGCTTTAGAGATATATGGGAATAGGAGACTTACAGCGGTTTTCAACCTGTGGGTCGCGAACAATGAAAATACATCCTGCATATCAGATATTTACATTATGATTCATAACAGTAGCACAATTACAGTTATGAAGTAGCAACGATAATAATTTTATGGTTGGGGGTCACCACAACATGAGGAACTGTATTAAAGGGTCGTGGCATTAGGAAGGTTGAGAACCACTGGAGGAGGAACTGAACCTGACTCCTGCCTAAAGCTCTTAGATCTTTGAAGTGGCTACATCCCTCAGTGAAAGTTGTGCTAGGAAAAAAAGAAAAGCTTCCTGTTGGCAAAAGGAGACAACAGGGATGAAATCTGTCTGTCTGTATGACAACTTTGAATAAACGTAGTCTCCTTTTTGGATTTGTTACCAGAGTCTTGACCTCACATGAGTGTGGGGCTCTAATGTATACGTCCTGCATGATCGTGGAACCACTACATTAATAAATGAAAGGGCCACAGGTGACTGTGCTTCTTGACAACCATCAGATACAAACACAAATTCTACATGGATGAAACTTTGTAAACCTAAAAGGTTCCTACAGGTTAATTTCTCACCACAACCTCCACAAAAAAATTAGCAAACACACTAATATATTACCAAAAGTTTGAGAGTCACCAGAACCAGAGTAAGATTTAGACCTACAAAGAAGTTTTCTATCAACAGATGCCCAATAAAGGAATTTCTAAAGAATGTATTTCAGGATAAATTAAAATAATTTTGGAAGATAGGTCTGAGATATAGGAAGGAATAGGAGGAAGAAAATGGTAGACCAAAGAAATCTAAACAGACAATAATTTATATCTATATCTATATATCTATATATTTATATATCTATATATCTATATCTATACCTCTCTCTCTCTCTCTCTCTCTCTCTCTCTCTCTCTCTCTCTCTCTCTCTCAGATAACTGATATATATATTGTTATCTAATTGGTGGGATTAAAAAAGATAGAACAAAAGTACTGGTTAACAATAGAATGTAATCCAGAAGGCAGGTTATCAGAGTTAAAGGACCTAAAGTCCTTGTACTTTTTATGGAGTATGTATTAATATTGACTAACCTCAGATTTTAAGTTAAATATGGAGGGCAGAATTTTAATGTTAATTTGTGAGAATAGAAATAGCATCATCTCTCACTTAACTTTAATCAATTTCTGAAAATCAGATGGTTTGGGCGAACACTAACCAGGAACCTATTTCTTATATTCTAAATTTGAAAAGTTACAATATGTTACATGTCAACCCCAAACCCTCAACCAACTTTCTAAAGTATATTTAAAACAAGCAATATGTCTATGTCTATACATGGGTGGCTAGCAATCTGTTAAGATGTAAAATGCTTAAAACATAGTTTTCTGATTACCGAACTTTTGATATAGTTATTAACAAACAGTTGTTTGTGTGCAGTTGTGTGGCCTCTCAACACTAGCAACATGCAAGGCACGTGTCTCCTTTATGGATGCACTCCTCAAAACTGTCTTGTGATTATCATATTCTAACAATTGTATTTTAAATGTAATTTCAGAATCTTCTCATAATTGTTTTAAAATGTGTATCTTGCTTAAATATAAAATTTTACTATATAAATGTTAAGCAAATCTTTGTATTGATTATTATATGTCTTGTGAATACTGAATGAAAAACAAAAGGCATTCTGCCTAGGACACATTCTGCAGTGCTTGGCTATATTGACAGACAATTTCAGCAAAGCATAAAAAACAAAATATACCATGTTCATTCCAGGATTAAGAGGTTGGTTTGAGCCCAGCTGGTGTGGCTCATAGTTGAGTGTCGACCTATAAACCAGGAAGTCACAGTTCAATTCCTGGTCAGGGCACATGCCCAGGTTGCGGGCTTGATCCTCAGTGTGGAGTGTGCAGGAGGCAGCCAATCAATGATTCTTTCTCATCATTGATGTTTCTGTCTCTTTCCCTCATCCTTTTTCTCTGAAATCAGTAAAAATTTAAAAGAAGAGGTTGGTTTGACATTAGAAAGCCTTTTAAATGTAATTGAACACATTAAAGGAGAAAAATATATGATCATCAGATGCAGAAAATATGTTCAGTAAAATTAGGTATCTACTCAGTAAAACATTTAGCAAGGTTTTAATAGAAGATAATGTCTTTGTACTGCTATCTACCAAAACCTGCAGTTTTTGACTTGCTGTATATTGATCTCATATTTAACCATTTTGCTAAATCTACTTATTCTTATAATTTGTGTCTGGGGGTGGGAATTCTTTTGTGCAGATGGTAGGTTTTGTTTCTTCCTTTCTAATCTTTACAACTTTCATTTCTTCTTGTCTTTTTACACTGGGGAGAATCTCCAGTATATTGTTGGATAAAAGTAGTTAAAGACCTTGATTTAAATTCTTCTACATCTGTGTTTTATTTTGAATACTGGTCAATTTTAACTGAAGATTTTTTTATTATGGCTGCCCTGTTCTGTCATAGGGAAAATAAAATCACTAATATTCTGAAATCAGCAAAAAATGTTGTTTACCTTTAAAAATACACACTTGAGCTTGGCTAACATGGCTCAGTGGTTGAGTGTCTACCTATGAACCAGGAGTTCACGGTTTGATTCCCGGTCAGGGTTGCCCAGGTTGCGGGCTCAATCCCCAGTGTGGGGCATGTAGGAGGCAGCCGATGAAAGATTCTCTCTCATCATTGATGTTTCTATCTCTCTCTCCCTCTTCCTCTCTGAAATCAATTTTTTAAAAAATTTAAAAAATAAAAATAAGTAAAATAAATAAAAATTTAAAAAACCTTGATTCCATTATACTTTAAATGTAAAAAGAAAACTATACATATTTTAGAAGATAGAAGAGCTTTAAGACCTCAGGATAGAAAAAGGTTTCTTAAGGCATAAAAAGCACCAACCATAAAAACAAATATTGATAATTTTTATCAAAGCTTCTATTAAACAAAATCATTAAAATATTAAGCAATTCATGAAACATAGTACAGGTGTTCAGAAAATGTGAACAACCCCTACAAACCAATAAAAACAGGACAGTAACCCAACAGAAAAGCAAGCAGTAGGACCTGGCATTTTATAGAAGAAAAAATATGGGAGTGGCCAATAAACATGAGAATGTATTCAAATTTTATTAATAATCAAGGAAATACAAATTAAAACCACAAATTTACACTCCTTAGATTATCAAAAATTTAAGCCTTGAGTTTTCTGGGCAGACAGTTATTATTTGCAGAAGATAGTTTTGTTTCTTCCCTTGGAAGAAACATGATGAGGAACAACTTGAACTAGGGAGTGTAAATCCATTGGCACAATCACATTAGAAAAAAATGAGTTGGCAATAAGTGGAAGCTAAAATGGCACGTATCTTTCAAACAATTTCCCTTCCTAGGGTTATTTTAAGAGTATTGTGTCCCAAGCTTCCCCCTGATAATATTGGTATGGCACACATTTTCTCTGGTAATGTTGGTATGATATCATCTATTTACTATCCTATATAATAAAAGCCTAATATGCTGTGTCCAGTCATCCATTCAACCAAAGCGTAATATGCTAATGATATGCTAAGGCTGTTCAGCCACTCACTATGGCATGTACTGACCACCAGGGGGCAGACACTCTGACTAGTAGGTTAGCTTGGTGCTGGGGTCTGGCTGATTGGGACTGAGCGAGACAGGCCGGACATGCCCTGGAACCCTCCTGCGGTCCCTCCCCAGTTGACCAACCTTCCGCATCCCTCCCCGGCCTTGATCATGCACCCATGGGGTGCTTTGGCCTGGCCTGCACCCTCTCGCAATCCGGGACTCCTCGGGGG